GATCTCGTGGACCAAATGTGGCTCCACTAATCTGTGCATAAAGACCGTGTTTAACAGACGGTTACATCTCTTATTATCTCACAGGCGACTGCTATGGAACTCGAGGTAAATCATCTGCGCACAGAAGCCCTCCCGAATCATAGGTAGTAGAAGGCTCTTAACCCTCAGCTCATAGTGCAGAGCGTCTGCCCCACATACAGCTGAGCTGTGATACAAGCATAGCCGTCATTAAGCTTCTTTTATTGGCCCTGATAATCCGTGCGCAAAAGTCCCCAAGAACCACTATGTATGACTCCTGGCACGTAGGGACTGCCAGCCGTCCGCCCCTGAGCGGGCGGGAGAGAGATAAGCGAGAGGCGGAGCCGGGACCAAGCAGTCTCCCCCTCAGTAAAAGGGATGCAGAAGAAGAGGTCGAGGAGGAGGGAGAGGAGGTGGAAGAAGTGGAGGAAGAGGGGGAGGAGGAGGATGAGGGGAGGAGCGGTTGCATGGAGGGCAGCTCTTGGAGGTGAGCGTTGGGAGGGGTATGTGTTAAGACTAGAAAGAATGAATAGAAGAAGGGAGAACAGGGGAGATATAGCGTTTGGGTTGTACCCACTAAGAACATACCCTATCTAGCCTATAACTTATACATAATAATATATGTATAAGTTGACACACCCCCTAAGCTAGATAAGGGGTAGCGCTGAGCAAGAAACACGCAGCTCAGGGTGGCACTACTAGTCCAACCTCTGAGGCAGGGGCCCGAAGACAAGTCAGCAAGAGTACAAGCAAGACAGAGCAAACCAGGGCGGCACTACTAGTCCAACCACTGGAGGAAAAGCCACAAGGCCAGTCTATAAGGCATAAATAAAAGGGAGTACACAATCAAGGGCCTAGCAAGTGAGAGTCAACAGGGACTAGACCTAACTGCAAGCAGTGCCGCTGATGATCTCTAGGCGGAAGCGCCTTAGTAAAGATATCAGCTATGCTGGCACCGGAGGCCAAGTGTACTACGCGGGCCTGGCGACACTGCTGAAGCTTGCGCAGGAGGAAGTACCGCAGCTGGATGTGCTTCGCTCTGCCCTCAAGTCGAGGCTCCTGACATAGGAGGATCATGGCCCTGTTGTCAGCGTACAAAACCGGGGCAGAACTAGGTCACTCACCTAAGTCTGCAAGCAAGAAGGTCAACCAGCGGAGCTCCTGTGCCCCCATGGCACCGGCGTAAATCTCAGCCTCGTAGCTAGACTGAGCAACAGACGAGGAACGAGTGGACCTCCACGAGGTGGCACCAGAACCAAGGCTGAACTAGTAGCCTTGGGAGGACCAGAGGGTCTCAGTGTCGTCTACCCAAGAAGCGTCTGTGTGCCCAGTAAGGACCACTGGCCTGCGTCCTCCCAGCACTAGCCACATGCCTGATGTACTCGCAAGATAATGCAAAACCCTCTTAGCGGCCAAAAAGTGATGTGGTCGGTGTCTGCCTGTGGCCACAAAGCGGGCCAGGATGCTGAGAGGGTATGTGAGATCTGGGAGAATGCAAGTCATCAGGTACATGAGGCAACCCACCAGCTCTGCGTAAGGACCACTTGGCTCTGCTGACTCCTCGGGAACTGGAGCTGAGAGCCTGTGGTCTACCGGCAAAGGTGTGGGCTGTGCGGAGGAGAACTGAATACTGAACCTCTGAAGGACCTGGCGCACCAAATGTGACTGTGTAAGAGTGATGGTGCGCGCTGCTCTGTCCCTGGAGATCTGCAGGCCAAGGTTATGGTGCAGCTCTCCCAGGTCAGTGCAGATGTGTCGCCTCAGCAGCTCAGCCTTCACGGAGACCAGCGCGTCTCTGTCTGCTGTAGCAAAGACCAGGTCGTCTACATAGACCAGGATATAGAACGCAGTCTGGTCAGCACGAACGAAGAGCGAAGGGTCAGCAGAGGGCGGAAAGAATTGCAGGTCAGCTACAGTAGCATGGCACGCTGCGTGTCGTGCCACTCACGGTGCGCATGTCGCAAGCGGTAGACGGGGCGCCGGAGGAGCCACTGGGTCCCAGGAGGGAAAGTACCGGTGAAGCCCTGAGGGCGGCGCAGGTAGACCTGCTCGTGTAGGCTGCCCTAAAGAAAAGCAGTGGAGAAGTCGAGGGAGTGAAGCTCGTAATCACACTGTGCTGCTACGTGTGGCAGCGCCCGAAGAGTAGTCATCTTTGGGATCGAGGTGAAGGTCTGAAAGAAGTCCACCCCCTCTCGCTGACTGAAACCTCTAGCCACGTAGCGCGCCTTGAACACAGGCGGCTCTCCAGGAGGGCGCTTCACCTTGAAGAGCCACCGGCCATCGACTACGTTCACCCCAGGTAAGGGAACTGCGTCGACGTAGGTGTCCGTAGCCTTCCAAGATGCCATCTCCTGCTCCATGGCAGCAATCCACTGAGAGGCCCAGGGTCCCGAGGTCGCCTCAGCGTGGGTGCGAGGGGTTGGGATGTCAAAGGCGTCGGGGTCACCCTCAGGGACTAGCAGCATGGAACAGAGATGGGGAGCAGCCTCTGACAGGAAAGCAAGCTCGTACTGCCGGTCCTTCAAGACGTCACTGCCGAGGGCAGGAGCACCCCCGACGGATGGAGGATGGGAAGGGTCAGAGACCAGGGCGGTAGCGAAGTCAAGGCGGCAAGTAGAGGCAAGTCAGCGACAGCAGCTACAAGAGCGTCAAGACTAGAAATAGGAACAAACGGGTCGGTAACGAGGGAGGCAAGGACCCAAGGAACAAGAGGACGAGTAGCACGAAGGTAGTCAGACCGAGGGGGAGGCGCGACAGTGAGCGACGACGTAGGAGGCGAAGGCAAACGGGGAGGACGAGACGCGTAGGAACGAAGAAACATAGGATGAGAACGCTGAACAGGAGAGACAGGACGAGCACGAGAAGGACGGCGAGACCAGACGAGAGACGGAGGCGTCGGGTCAGGAGACAGAGGAGGGTAACAGGAGGGGAACAAGAGGGGAAACGAGCCGGAGACGAGTCCGGCGGAGGAAACACAGGACCGTGAGCAGGAAGAGGGGGAGACAGCGTGGGAGGCACAGGCGAGCGGTCAGGGGAGGGAAGGCCAAGCAGGCGAAGGGCGGACACCAACGGCGACTGCTGCTGTTGCTCCTCAACGCCGACACCTGGACCACTGTCACAGGATCGAATGTGTCGAGGAAAGATTGCACTATCGATCAGTACAAGGCGCTTTTATACTTCCAGAGTACATCAGGTAACCAGGTTTCTTATCCTAAGGGAATATACCCTTCTAGAAGATAGAATCACCCTGCGTATAGCCACGCGAGGCTATTGGCTTTAAGGGATTACGGCAGGATTACGCTAGATAGAGCGCCCAGTACATCCCAAGCCTGGTCGGTGATATAACTATATAGCAGGAGAAACCAAAGGTTAATGGAAAAGGAGAATAGGAAACCAAATGAGATGAGATAAAAAGAGAAATGAAAATAGGAAGGAAGTAGAAAAAAGGCCAAGTGGTGTAACGGGGTCGTACTCTCACACTTCCCCCCCTCAAAGCTGGGTGGTAGAAGTAACACCCTGCTTGACAAGGTAGTCATGCAGAGGACGACGGGCGTTACCCATGTCGGACTCAGGTACCCAGCTGTCCTCAGAAGGATCATAACCCTTCCAACGGATGAGAAGCTCCACGGTGCCATTCCGACGACGGCGGTGTGCGAGCACGGACTCGACCTCGTACTCGGGTTCATTCTGGACGAGGACGGGCGGTGGCGGCGGCGGTTGGCGTCCGACGAAGATCGTGTTCGGATCCCGATAGGGCTTCAGAAGTTGGACATGGAAGGCGTTGTGAATCTTCCAGGTAGCTGGCAGGCGTAAGCGGAAGGTAACAGGAGTGACCTGTGCTTCAACGAGAAAAGGCCCGCAGAAGCGAGGTCGACGTTTAGATGGGAGATGGCTGATGTCCAGGTTGCGGGTGTCAAGGAGTACCTGGTCTCCCACCGTGATGGTGTGATCGTTGCGATGGCAATCGGCCTGGCGCTTCTGTGCTATTTGAATGTCGAGGAGGCGCTTGTGGGTCCGATCCCAAAGCTGATGCATGGTTGTGATAAATCATGCAGGTTGGACTGTAGCGGATGCTGTCGGTTTTTTGTGGTGTGAGTGGGTGGCGTCCGTAGCAGAGGAAGAACGGCGTCTGTCCAGTAGCGGCAAGTATAGCATTGTTGTAAGCAAACCTCTAGTACGGGCAGAGTGCAAGTCCCATTAGAGATCTCGCCTTGCAGCTGCTCGAGGAGTTGCTCCAACAATTTGGTTGAGGCGCTCGGTCTGTCCGTCTGTCAGCGGATGGTAAGCGGATGACATGGCGCGTTTGGTCCCGAGGAGAGACATAAGTTCCTTCCAGAACTTGCTGGTGAACTTAGGGGTCTCGGTCGGAGATGAGTGTGGTTGGAATGCCATGCTATGAGATGATGTATCGAACGAAGAGTTGTGCTGTTTCTTCGGTGCGTGCTGTCGTGTGTGTCGGGATGAAGTGGTCCCATTTTGGAGAATTGTTGATAATGACAAGGATGGCGTCATGACCGCTGGAGGTAGGTGGTAACCCGGTGATGAAGTCCAGGCTAACCACTTGCCATGGTTGTTCTGGGACAGGAAGAGGCTGCAGTAGTCCACCTTTTTCTGCTTGCTACTCTTCATCCGCTGACATGTATCACACGAGGTGACGAATTTCTAGACATCTTCTGCTAAGTGGGGCCAGTAGTAGTGCTTTGCGATACCGGTCAGCGTCTTGTTGCTACCGAAGTGTCCGGCGTAGAGGACGTCGTAGTATTCTTCGAGTAGTAACTGGCGCAAAGGAGGGTAATTGGGTACCCAGATTTCGTTGATCCTTTCCGGTACGCGATGTCACTGTCCCACTGTAGCAGATGTCGCTTTTCTGCCAAGGAATTTCGGGGTCGATGGCGTACCCGTGTGTGAAGAGTCCCTTGAGTAGTGGATTCATCCCTTCGACCTGAATAGCGGCAACGTGTGCAGGCCGGCTGAGAGCGTCTGCTTTGTTTTTGTGACCGGGCTTGTACACGATGTCGTAGTGGAAGTGTGTCTCAAGGAAGTCAATCCACCGGGACCTGCGCCTGGAAAGGTTGGGTTGTGTCTTCAAGTATTTCAGGCTGCAGTGTCGGTGTAGATGGTTGTTCTTCGTCTTTCGAGATAACACCTCCACGCTTTGAAGGCGATGATGATAGCCAGGGCCTCCTTGTCGTGTATCGGTAGTTGAGTTCTGCCCCGTGTAGTTTTCTTACTTAGGTAAGGCGATTGGTTGCAGTCCATTCCCTTGATCTTGCATTAAGACTGCTCCCACTGCTTGGTCACTGGCGTCAGCTTCGATGACGTAGTCGCGTTCGGGTCTGCAAAATGAGTACGGGTGCGGACGTAAGTGCTTGTTTCAGCTGCTCCATGGCTTCCTGGTGCTTCGACTCCCATTTGTAGGGCGTGTTCTTCTTCAGCAGATTCGTAAGTGGTGCTGCGAGTTTTGCATACTGTGGCATGAACCTGTTGTAGTAATTAGCGAAGCCTAGGAACTGCTGCAATGCCTTCACGTTCTCGGGTGTCTTCCACGTGCGTACGGCTTCGATTTTCTTGGGGTCGACGTGAACTCCTTGAGCGCTCACCATGTGTCATAGGAATTGGACCTTCTCAAGGGCGAATTCGCTCTTGGACAGTTTGACGTAGAATCGTTCTCGTCGAAGAATTTCGAAGACGCGTCGCAGGTGTTCGACGTGCTGCTTCATGTCGCGCGAGTAGATGAGGATGTCGTCCAGGTACACCACCACGCACTCGTCCAAAAGTGGTCGTAGAATGTGGTTCATTTCGGCTTGGAACGTTGCCGGTGCGTTGGTGAGTCCAAACGGCATTACCAAATACTCGTACGATCCATACCGAGTTCGGAAAGCAGTTTTGTGACAGTATCCAGAACACAGATCCAGTTTGGAAAATACCGTAGCTCCCCGAAGCTGGTCAAGCAGGTCATCGATTCGCGGAATCGGATATTTATCCTTGATGGTCTGCTTGTTAAGAGCTCGGTAGTCGATGCACATGCGCAGGCTTCCGTCCGGTTTCGGTGTGAAGAGTACTGGGGCATCGTATGGCGAAGTGGATGGTCGGATGAGTCCTTTGGCTAGGAGATACTCGATTTGTTTTTTCATGTCGGTCAGCTCCGTAGGGCTGAGCCGATATGGTGCTCGGAAGGCCGGCTTCGAACCCGGTTCCTCCACGATCTCGTGTTGATGCATTCGGTATGGCGGTAGCTCATTCGGAAGATCGTCCGGAAGAATATCGTGGAACTCCTTCAATAACTCCTTGATCTCCTCTGGAGGTTTCGAGGTTTTTCCCTTGTCGTTCTCCGCCTATGTTGCTATTGCCAGGAACCCTGTGTCGGTTCGCTTCACGTCCTTCTCGAATCGTGCGAGTGTCTCCACTGGGATATCTCCTGTATCATCCCAGTTGGGTAGCTGTACTCTCCGTCCATTGTTGTAGATACTTGCGGTGCGGTTCACCCAGTTGATCTCGGGGTTGAATCTTTTTAGGAAGTCTCGCCTGAAGATCAAGTCAAGCCCTTTGATGTTGGTGATGGGGAGTGCAGGTCTCCAGCGCAGTGGTCCAATTTGTAGGTGTAGCACTGCTTCGCTGTGTACTGGTAACTTGCTGCCGTCCACCATCACTGCAGAGAATCGTGAAGGCTTGTACTCTTCCCGAAGTCGGTCGATTACTGCCTTGTCGCAGACGGTGTGCGATGCTCCGCTGTCTACGAGTGCTTGGAGGCGTCGTCCTTTGCAGATGACCTCGAGCACGAGGGGTAGGCGTTGCTCGGAGTACCCAAAGATAGTTTCATTGATTGGGTCATAGGGTACATCCCAATATTCGTACACACCTTTGTGTTGCTATCTACTCCTGAGCTGGCAGCTGGCCGAGGCTGCTTGGAGAACGGCTCTTCTCCAGGGCCCGGAGTTTCCTTGACGACTGTGCGCGTCGTTGATGCCGAAGAACTGGATGCATCCGGAGGAGGAGTTCGGGGTTTGTGCAGCTTCTTATAGACCCCCAGCTTCCTCTTGAGCTGCTTCAGCTCCACCGACGTCTTCCCTGGGGAACGGGTAGTCGTTGTGGGCTGGTGTCGGGAGAGGAGGTTGACTCCGTGGAAAGGTCGACTTCTTTCCACGCTCCTTAATTTTTTCCCCAAGTTGTCTGGTACTGGTATAATCTCCACAGCTGTCTACTTCTTTTGGAGTCCTTCCCGGAATTTCTCCAATGCTCTAGCCCCTCGAAAATCATAAGTTTTCATTAAAGCGTCTTTATAAGATAACTTTAACGAATCCTTATAATTTCTTGGGTCTCCAAGGAGTTGCCCCGTCTCGGCAGAGTCTTTTTTCGCGGAGTTGTATTTTTTCTCGGCGATTTTCCCTGGCGAAGACTGGTCGTGGGGTGGAGATTTTCCCCCATCATTTCCTCCTTCTCGCGTCGAATCAGCTTCGTCGAAGTTGATTTTCCCAGAATCCCGCGGCCGCTTCCGGATCTTTTTATTCTCGCCAGCTAGATCCGCAATCACTGGCGACTCCCGTTTTTGGCTTCTGATTGGCTGAAGGAATTCCGTCACTGTTGCGTGCCCGATACTCTGCGCCTGCGGCTTTCATTTTGTTGTAGTCGAAGATTCGATGACCCGGCACCCCGCAAAAATCACACGTGTAATTGGTGTTTTTCGGACGTGGCTGCCCCTCGAATCTGTCGACTTCCATCGGGTTGGCGAACGTGGGGTGAGCCGAGCGGTCGCCCTGTCGCGTACTGCCGACGTGCGTCCGTCGTGTTCCGGCGTTGACCATGTCGAAGCGCTCCGCTGCCGAAACGACGTCACTATAGCTCGCGTAGTTTGACGCTGCTACTTGTCGTTTGACTTCGGTCTTCAGCCCGGCAAGGTATGATTGTACTTTTTCCCCTTCGGTGAGGTCGCGAATTCGGTTATAAAATTCCTCCATCTGCTGCGTGTACTGTGCTACACTCCCGAACTGTCGGTGTCGATGATTTTTTTCCCGGGCAAGGAAACTCGAATTTATCGGCGCGGAACTGCTGCCACGTGGCTTCACCGTGGATGAAGGTACTGTTGCCGCCAATCCACTCGAGTGCCGGCCCTCGCATCAGTGTCGCCGCGAGTCGTACACGTTGACCGTCCCAGACTGGCGAGCTCCATCCGACGGCTGCGAAGTAGATCTCCATCCCGGCGATCCATTTGCGGGCGTCGGAGTTTCGATCGCTCGGATCGAACGGCTCAGGTGGGCGCAGTTTTGGAGCCTCGAGAAACTGCTGTGACTGCTGCATCGTCGCCGTTGTTGTTTCGTGCTGCGCTCCGGCGAGTCGAGTTACTCGCTCGAACTCGTTTCGCCACGCTTCGCGATCCGCTCGCATTTCCTTCTGAAGGGCTGCGATGCGCGCGAAGAGCTGCTGGGTAACCTCGGCGTTGTCGAAGGTTGCCATCCTGTTCAAAACACGCACGGAGGGGGTAATTCGAAAATCGCGGAGCTGGTGCTTACCAGAATCGGCGTCGAATTGGTCGCCCCCGGCGGTTTTTCGAGGCAGGTTTTCCCGCTGCTGCTGCTTTGTTGAGCGCGGCCGAGTGAGAAAGGCTCTGATTACCAAGTGTGACAGGATCGAATGTGTCGAGGAAAGATTGCACTATCGATCAGTACAAGGCGCTTTTATACTTCTAGAGTACATCAGGTAACCAGGTTTATCTTATCCTAAAGGAATAGACCCTTCTAGAAGATAGAATCACCCTGCGTATAGCCACGCGAGGCTATTGGCTTTAAGGGATTACGGCAGGATTACGCTAGATAGAGCGCCCAGTACATCCCAAGCCTGGTCGGTGATATAACTATAATAGCAGGAGAAACCAGTAGGTTAATGGAAAAGGGAGAATACGAACCCAAATGAGATGAGATAAAAAGAGAAATGAAAATAGGAAGGAAGTAGAAAAAAGGCCAAGTGGTGTAACGGGGTCGTACTCTCACAACCACCAGCTGCACTACTGCTACCTTCGGTACACTCCACGCCAGCACCCTCAGTACGAGAAACGTCTCCAGCGCCGGTGCCACCCTCGAGCCCGACGGGACAAGCCACGACAGGAGCCCCAGGACTAGCACCCTCTCAAACTCCAGCACCTTCAGAGTCCACGAATGGTTGCGACTGCGACGACGGCGGCGGCTGCGGCGGCGACTGCGACGAGGGAGGAGGAGACACCGGGGGAGGGACAGGCGGCGCAAACTGCGCCGCGGGGCTACCGGAGTCAGCCGACTCCTTGACCGGGACAGCCGACGGGAAGGGAGTGACATGAGACACACCGGACGGAGCAGGACGGGGAAGGAGAGGAGCAGGGGCGACCGGGGGAGTGGGAACCAGATACAGGGGGGGGGAACGGAGAGCCCTCGGTGAGGAAAGCGGTGGAAAAAGGAGACAGACTCGTCGAAAGTGACGTCATGGGAGTGAAGGAAGCGGTGAGACGACGAGTGGTAGAAGTGCCAGTCAGACGAGTCAAGGGGGAAACCGAGGAAGACACAGAGGACGGTGTGGGCAGTGAGCTTGTCCGTGCTGGAGGCACGAACGTGAGCGAGGCAGCCCCAGACGTGGAACGCCGACGCATCACCAGGGAACCCGGTCCAAAGAAGGGTCGGGGAAACCTGCGGCCGCTGAGAGCAAGGCCAGAGATTAAGCTGGTGAGCGGCGTAGCGAACGGCCACAAAAAATGGGGTGCACCGGCATGGATCATGGAGGTACGAGCCACCTCCATGACCAAACCGATGCGTTGCTCAGCGACCCCATTCTGCTGCGGGGAGTCCGGTAGGGTGTACGTCTGGGTTTCAGCAATGCGTTGCTCAGCGACCCCATTCTGTGATACCCTCCGCACGACAGAACTGACCCAGCCGACCTGAGGCGAACTCGCCGCCACGGTCGGAGTGGAGACACAGCACAGGGAGACCGCGGTGGAGGCGCGCAGCGACGAGCCACGGGATAAGAACGTCAGGCACGTCAGCCTTCCGCTCCAGGGGAAACACTGTGGTGTAGCGCGTTAAGTTGTCAACGAGCACCAGAAAGTAGCGCTCACGACGCGGTCCAGGGACACGGGCTGGGCCCCAGACGTCCAAGTGCAGGGTCTGAATGGCTGCAGTGGTAGGGCGAAGTGAGGAGGAGTGAGGAGCACAGTGTAGCCGGCCCTCGACGCAGGGCGTGCACGGCGGCACAGGCGAGGGACGGAGAGCAGGGAGTGATGCAGGGAGGCCGAGGACGAGACCGTGCTGACACATGTGACGCAGGCGGGGGAGCGCGGGATGACCTAGGCGGTGGTGCCACAACAGTGACGGGTGAGTGAGCGACCGACACGAGTAGGCCGCACCTACCTGGGTGGACGCAGGACTGGAGGAGGATTCGCCCGCCGGGAGGGAGCAGTGTCCAGCGTAAACAGGCCAGACACAGGGTCCCGGGGGAACGTCGCAAGGGGGGCTTCTAAGGCAGCCTCGGAACAGACTGCGTACCGCTCATGACCAGGGAACGTAGTGGTGATGCCGCGCTCCTAAAGACAGCCGACACCAACTAAGTTCCTGGAGAACAACGGGATGTGCAGGCCTGTAAGGGAACCCGAGGGAACCGCCAGACAGGGAAGGGTAGTGTAGCTGCAAGAAACTACAGGACCAGAGGAGGGATCCGCAAGGGCGACAGCGGCAGGCGCAACAAGCGGAGTGAGGGCGGCGTGGTTGCGGAAGAAACAAGCTGATGCACAGGAGTCTAGAGTGAAGGACAGCGACGCCGTAGTGGCCGACGACGGAGGAGCAAGGGTAGAGCCTAGGCTAGACAAAGCAAGCTGTCCTACGCCTGACACAGCAGGGGAGTCTGGACTACACACAGGTGCTATGCCTAAGCTAGAGAACACAGAGTAATACGATCCTGAAACACTCGAAGCGTCAGCATACAGAGAATGCAAGGTAGAACTAATCTGATCCATGCCTAAGTCAAACACAAGCACACCATGGCGCAGCAGGCTGGGCAAGTCAAGGAGGTCCGGGGCGGGACCAAAGCGGCGACGGAAGAGGTCGTCGACGTGGCGGAAGCGGCGGGCGGTGGGGTGCAGGCGGCGGCACACCATGCCACGCATGGGCCTGGTCTGTAATTGGTACTGGCAGCTCACAGCCCCGAAGCTGCCGGTGGACGCCGAGCTGCGAGGGCCACCATCATGACCACCACCGCCAGGGGTTCCAGGCCACCCGGGCGGGAGACGAGCCAACGGCTGCTGCTGCTGCTGCTGTGACGGTTGCTGTTGCTGCAACGGCTGCGACTGCGGCGGCTGCGACTGCAGCAACTGCTGCTGCGACTCCAGCACCAACCCCCTCGTCGGAACCACTGTCCCCGCCACCACCACCACTAGCGCCACTTCCACGTCCTCCCTTGGAGCCATAGCGGCCCCGGCGCTGGCGCTGCTGCGGGTAAGCCGCAGTTGTTGTCTCAGGTGCAGGCGCAGTCGTGGCAACTGTGGCGGAGACGTCAGCGTACGTGCACTCGGAGGGGGCACAGCCCTGAAAGATAGGGACTGTCGCAACACCGCTCGACTGAGAGATAGTGCGCTGGCGAGTCTCTATCTCAGACAGAGTAGTGACAAAGGCGGTCAGGGTGAGGTCGGCAGGGTGCTCATTAAG